GCAGAGGCTGTTCTTTCCGTGACTGCCGTTTCCTAAAAGCAACAGGAACTTCAGTGCTTTAGCATCTCCACATCCTTGTCAAATGTGGCCAATGTTTTTTGCATGTTAAACGTGTGCAGTGGGAAAGGAGAACCACGGACAGTAGGGCAGCACAAACCTTCTTTCTTTAACAAAGCGGGCCAAGTGCAGAAAGAACTAGAGAAGAGGCTGTTCTTTCCGTGACTGCCGTTTCCTAAAAGCAACAGGAACTTCAGTGCTTTAGCATCTCCACATCCTTGTCAAATGTGGCCAATGTTTTTTGCATGTTAAACGTGTGCAGTGGGAAAGGAGAACCACGGACAGTAGGGCAGCACAAACCTTCTTTCTTTAACAAAGCGGGCCAAGTGCAGAAAGAACTAGAGAAAACCTGCTACCCGAAAGGCATCACATCCTGGTCTAGTGCAGTTCTTCAGAAGCCTTCTTACGCCCAGAACGAAGGCAAAAACTTTCTTGACAGGAACAGTGAGCAGCCGTCAGCCCCAAGCACCGTGGCAGACTCCCAAGAGCAGGTTTCCCGTTTATCTCTCCTGTGGGATAGCGGGCCCCGCACTCTGGCTCAGACTCTGCTGAGTCCCCAGTGGCTTAGAAATGCTTTGTCAGGCAACAGTTCTGGAAACACTGGATTTCTAGTTCCATGCTTCGAAGCACAAAAATGTTAGAAAGGAGAGATTTGGCAAAAGGCAGCTTCTTGGCCAAATACACTTAATCTTTAGCAAATAGAAGGCAGGGTTGATGCTGCTGGAAAGCGCATTCCTGTATACAATACCCTCACTATCCTCGCTCCGCTTGGGTCTGGACATTCCAGGCATCTGGCTTGGCCTGCTTAGTCAGAATTTTCTGCCATGGGGTAAACAGCTGCTTTTGTCCCTTTAGTACCAGCCTTCCCATAGAAGCATCTTCAGGAGAAGTTCCCTTTCTGCACACAGTCCATTCAAAGCCATTCACAGCTGGGCACAGCTACCGGCCCTCCGGGCACAGTAATCTGCGGCGACAATTCTGGCTGCCCTGGATTTTAGTCTTTGTCCTGCATAACACATTCCAATGAGAGGTACGGAGCTACAAAATGTTATTACATATTACAATCAGGCACTACAGCAAGCATTACAGAAAAAACACAGTCACAGAAGAAAAAAAAGTCATATTTATTCATCAAAGCAGACTGACTCCAAGCCATGACACATTCCATGGGAGGAAAGACAAATACTATTCTCCATGTCTCCCCTCTTCCCCTTCTCTGGAGAGAAAGAGGAGGGTACACATGTCCTTAAAATGTATGCATACTGGCTAATACTGCTTAAATGGCGAGGTCTTGTTTATCAGAGCAAGCCAGACTTAAGAGCCTGCCAACTTTCCGTAGGACCCAGGCTCCAATAACATCACCTGCATTCCTCCGGTGACGAAGAGCTATTAACAGACCTACTTCTGCCACGAAAACTAATCCCAGCTAGGCTTTGGGAAATACAATGCAAGATACAAATTCTGTTTTGCTGCTAGTGACTATTTTCTTCTTTCTCACCCACTCAACATCACCTGCTTTGACACCACAGCAGCTGTGTCCCCCCGACACTGGAGACGGGCCAAGCACCAAGTGACCAAGTGCTGGACAGGCACATCCTCCAGCACTGCCACAGCACCAGGTGACCTGTGTGAATACGCGAGCAAGGAAGCGCTACTGAGGTAGCGGGATGCAGCACTTCCACGGCCCCTGCGAGCGGCACAGCAGTACGTCAGTGCCTTGAACCACGCTGCAGTGGTGCCTGCCAAGAGCTGACGGGACTAAGCCAAGCAGAAGCACGATTTTAGAGGAGGGAAATAGAGCTTTGTGTATTCGTACACGAATGGAATCTGCCCACTCTCCGCAAGGAGCGTGCACAGCGCGTTTCTGTCTTCCCAGGTCTTCTATCACACTCATTACCGCAGCATCCAGAAGCGCTGAAAGACAAAAGCAACCTCCTTGTAGAAAGGAGGTACGTCCTCCAAATCTCCTCACGGTGAAGAAGGGCAACTCACTTGTGAGCGCGTGCTGAGGTTTCCAAAATGCTTTAGATAACATTCCTATGGGAGACTCAAACCAGCTCACCAACGTGAAATACTTTATTGAAAGAACCCGTTTGGATCGAGGCACTGCGACAGCGGTATGCTGGGCGTTCATGGAGCTACAAGGCCAACCTGCCAACAGAAGGCAACTGCTTTTACCCAGTAAGTGCACATCCATTTCAGCAAACGTTGGAAATGCTGGAATAAAACACGTTTTAGCTCCCCTCTCTCTTTTTCTCATCCTTCATCTGTACTTGGACCTCTCTTTGTCTTTTGATTTCTTAGGACTTCTGCTTCTGTCTGCTTTTTTATCCCAGTCTCTTACTCGGGAGTCTTCATTGTATCTGTCTCTTTGCTTGCTGTAGGGGTAGTCTCTCTCCTGAGATCGGCTGCGACTCCGATGCCTGTCTTTCTTCTCACTCCTCATCTTCTCTCTACCGCGTTCTCCTTCATGTTTTCGGTCCGAATCCTGTTAAAGGTATTGGATAGGGAAGCAGTTACAGACAAAAGGGGAACACATACGAAGACATGAAGAGAACGAGAGAAGAGTCCAGCATATTTGGTTCCTTAGCCAAGGCTGGTACTACTGAAATAGATTCACATCCATGACGGCTTGAAAAAGATAACACACATTAAAAAAAAACACTCTAACTGTATGAAGAAGGTAAGACTTACAGCTTCTGTCACCATTTAGGGAAAAAAGCATGGCTGCCAGGCATGCTGCTGCTTGCTTTTCCTTAAGGAGCTATAGCAAAAACCGGTTCTATCAGGGATTCAGCTCAGATGGATATTATCAAACTCCTCATAAACATCACATAAGCTTGTAACCCAGATTTGGATTTTGACTCATCATCTAAGCAACGAAAGTATTTTGGTCACAGGTTTTGGATCAAGCCCCACAGGCACTCCAGTGCTATGAAGATGCAGAACACCTTAAAACCTGCTTGTAATAATCCCTAACTGCCTAAATTCTAGGCTTCAGAAGAATGAACACCACTCTTACAAAGACCAAAGCTACACACACGCGCGCGTGCGCAAACCGCTTCCTCGAAGCTAGAAGTCCACAAGAAAAGGCAACGTGGAGAATACGATCCTTTTAAATGTACAGTTAAACAACACTGAGGTAATGAGAAATTTTGCAGGCTGATGGGTATGACCCATACAGAAAATACAAGAAGACACACTCAGGCACAGAAAACTCAGGGGTACAAGTCTATCAAATTTTAAACGGCCTGAAGAGGAGAGACCAACATTATGTACTGTAAGTGGCACTGGTGTTTCAGAAGACACGCAGAAACTCTAAAAAAAGATGCAGCAAGTTCAGGTAGCCAAAAATAAGCACATCGTCACCAAGACCGCTGACTGAGTGGCTCAGCGCGCAGAAGGGATTTGCTCTGGAGAGAAGCGAGGTTCATGTAACAAAGGAGGAACTCCTGTCAAGTAGAGCACCCGCTCCGTTCGTTCCAACGTGCAGACAGCACGAAACCACCGAGATGGTGCATTAGTAGGCGAAGCAAAGGTGGATCAGCTACTCGGATTGTGAAGTGTCACGCTAACAAGATTACGGCACAGCGCGTGCTAGAACGACAACGATGTGGAGACACCGACACCCGAAGAGGCCACAGCATCACAGTGATATTAAAAATAAAAAGATAAAGATCACTTAGAAGGTGACCATTTAATTTCTAAAGATTTTCTTAATACACAGTGCTGAGTTCCGACATGTGAACTAACATTTTCAAGCACTGCTAAAAACTATTTTGATCTTATTATTCAACTAAGATACAGTGAAATAAAGTACAAGAGGAGCTTCAAAATCCAGCAGAAAGATACATACACAGCTTGCTGTTAAGGCAGCAGCTGGCACTTCTGTTTTGAAGGTAGATCACTTGAAAGTTTAGTATCACTATATGCTCTAGCAGATACCACGTTATGGGATTTTTATTAACACCACTATTCAACACAGATCATTACGAACTATGAAAAAGGTCTGAATTAAATTACACAGTATTTCTTAATTTCAGATACGATTTTTGTTTTTCTAAATATGTACTCGTGACAGTAGCACTCACAGCTGTACAGCTAAAATCTATCCTGCACGTACAAACAAGCAAGCTTTATTTATTTCACCAGGCAGTGAAAAAACCTCTACTCGAAGCAAAGCTTTCATTCAGAAAGGCAGCGACCAGGATGATTCCCAGAGCAAACACCACCTTCAGAATGATGTAGATAATGGTGAAGTACCAGAATTACTATAAGCGCGATAGAATCCCTGGACCAACACATGTATCAACAGTCACAGGCTTGAACTTTACCTACATAACAAAAATTTCTGCTGCTGCTGGGTACAGTAACCTCCCTGGTGGCCAAACGCTCATTCCACATCTTTACTGTCAAACTCTACTTCGGTATGGATTTTAAAATGTGAATCCATCAAAAAGGAGTGGGGATTCCAGCTACTTATGAGAGGTTTCTCCCATCATTTTCAGAACGATGCCCAGCCATATTACACTTGTTCCCAAAACCCTCAGTCTCCGTCTGTCTGAACAAGAGGACCTGTTTCAAGCCCCTTTGTGGCAGGGACTGAGTAAACATCAGAACATGGACAGGGTAGTGATACAGTAAAGAGGAACAAGACAGGAATTTTGGCCAGAGAAACCTATGGTGGGCTTGATGCACCACTGGCTTCTTGCTGGTTTGCTGCTGGAGTTTCCTCTCAGCACAAGGAGAGACAGGAGAAGAGCAGCACAGCCTTCAATTGAAAAAGCCACCAAGCCAACACTGGAGACAGGCTCCTGGCCACATCAGGGCAAGGAACAGGTTAGTGGAGTCTTGAAAAGGACGACAGTAGGCTACGCTGAATGCCACAGGGATGGGCAACTTGCTGAATGGATTAAAAAAAACTGTTGTATGAGCACGGAGCCAGCAAAGCACACGTACCTTCACAGAAGCATTTAGGGCATAGGTGTACAGGGCGAGTTTGAAAGCGCCACGAAAAGGCCATTGCAGTAGCTACTACGACCACAGTCTTAAAAAAAAAAAAATACAGTCATTTGAATTAACACATGAATTGCATCTCAGTTATCCCAGAAAAATCAGTTATGTTTCCCCTTAAATAAGCTTTCACCTTTTCTAAGTCTTTGGCCCATAAAAATGTCAATTTTTAAACACTCTGTGTTACTAAAAAAACCCACGGTATTTTGAAATAAAATCTTTCATGCCATATCCAAGTCAGAAACATGCTGTTTTCCCACTGGATGAGGAAGAAAAAAAAGGTTCCTACTTAAAAACAGGCTCTCTTTTACTGCTGAGGTCCAGATTTCTCAATCCAGGATCACAGTCTCTTATCAGTCAATGAGTAAGTGATGATTATCCCAATTCTTAACCCAGCACTGTGATGGTGAACACACATGAGGAAGGAAATAAGAAAAGAGGGAAAAACACTCGTCTGGAAGTTCATGCCTGGCTTTGCCAAAAACAGTTAACTTGCCAAACTGCGCTTGCAGGTAAATCAGCTAGAAACACCATGAACTATGCCACCTCTACACACATTAAGCATACTAGTTAAAGGTTAAAAGGAACAATTAGAGGCAGTCTTTTCAGGAGGTAGATTCTGATCAAAACCTGACCTTGTATATAAGGAGAGCAGTGTCCAATAAGCATTAAGAGCAGGAAATTAAAACCAGAAAAAGTAGGATCTTTATCAAAACGATGCACTACAGGAAGTTCAAAGTCAGGAAGGCCCTGTGTCTCAAAGATCCATTGGATAGGCTATATTCCCCCACTGATCCAGTTATCTCAACAAAACAAAAAAATCCAAAGAACCAAAAACTGCAGAAAACTGGAAAGGAAACTAAGTCTTAATATATATCTCAAGCAGAAGAATGACCTGTATTAAAAAAAAAAAAAACAAACCACACCACTCTACCAAATTCTATTCACAATTTATCATGGTAGTGTAGCCTCCTGGTCCAGACCCACATCCTGTTAACTACTAGAAGCAAGCCGCAACACCCTACCTCTTCTTACCCTCTGGAATCAAGTCAAACAGCACAAAAATCAAAAATGTATTCTTAAAACATCAACACAGACTGAAGATTCAGGAAGTGGCCGTCAGACTAAGAAAAGGATGAGTCAAAATATACTAAAGAAAAAAAGCACACCAGCAAGAGAAGACAAAAACAACTCAAGATCATGGAAACTATTCAGAAAATAAAACCCCTTCAGTCATAGCTGGAGCTGGTAGCACAAACTGCAGTTTCAGTTGCCAGAACTTCCCAATCTAAGACTGTATTGTCCGTTAATTAAAATCTAAGCCACACTTGGGGCTCAGGGTAGTTTATATACGAAGCATGGCAATTGTGGGCTTCGGCCAATTAGTTGTGGAAGGTCTGCTTGTTGTTTCCTTTTAAAGTTCTTACCTCAAATATATTCCAGTATTTCCAAAATAGGGTTAAGGGAAAACGCTTTGTTTGCCTATACTAAAAATGCTGCCACTCATCAAAAATCTTCCATTCAGTTATGCTTTGTGCTGGCCTCGGTATTCACACTGAACATGCTCTGCCTCAGGAACATGCCTCCTTCCCCTCTTCTTGTAGGAGTTCCCCAGATGATGCCCAAAGTATAAACCTAAAAAAGCCCACCAAAATTAATATATTTCCTATACGCTAAACAGGACCTGTCAGCTAAGCTGCCTGCAGATTTCACCTGGAAAGGGCCACGTACCGAATCTCTAAACCAGTCCAAGCACACAGTGTGCACATACTGTACAGTACACGCTAACAAGAACATTCAAGTACAGACACAGAGAAAGATTCTTCCCATACACTGATTTTCACAGCTCCAAGAGGGAACAGAAGTAAGCCTCCACCTGTGATTTGGGCATGAGAAGGCTAAGCTATTTACACTGAAATGGGCAAAGGTGAACAACAGAGAGGAAAGCAGTGGGAAAGAAGATACAAGAATACAGCAGTAGACTGCAAGAACAAACTACCACAGGACCAGGCGACTAAACCACACAAAGATAGGCAGAAGACAGAGTCAAGCACTAGAAAATACTATTTCAAGCGCACCACCGAGAGTGAAGACAGAACCTGGCAACAGCACCAGGAATCCCTCTCTGGCTTTTAAAACGTCCTCTGCTAATAACGCACAAGCAGCCAGTTCCACGCTCATGCTTTTGCACCACCGAGAGTGAAGACCACTTCCAGAAACACCTGTTTCAAGAATGTTAAAGCGACAATGTCCATCAACCAGAAAGACAGGAAGAAGTCTAAACCAACATTAGTTCAGACCTCTTGTATGTACATGTTCTGCTCAAGGGTTTAATTGTGCCAACAGGTCCCTCCCCTCCACCCAGGGGATCCCAAGTGACTTGGCACCCGAACAGCGACAAACAGCCTTGTCCCACGAACGAGCAACAGGGCTTACTGGTGGCACTGAAAAAAATATAACTGCTAACATTCATGAGAAAAGTTATTTTTAGCATCACAGCGAGAAATGATGCAATGGAACAACCGAATCATGTATGCTCTCTGCACACAGAACTTACAGCAGTACCCAAAACTCATGCCGGGACAATGGCTTTATTTACTGCGGTTGGAACCTTATCGCTTTCTGCAAAATTGCTAGAAGACAGCTTTGTTTTTAACTCATAAAGCTTGCATTGTTAAAATATTGGGGTTTGGGGTGGGTTGTCTTTTTTTTTTCCCCTCCTTCCCAGCCTAGCTCTGTTCTCCCTAATGCTCACACTTCAATGCTGGTTAACCCTCCACTATCACTGCAGACAGGGTTTCCATGAACCATCACCATGCTGACTATGCCAGCTTCACAGAAGCGTGAGCATGCCCACTCAGGAGGCTGCAGTGGAACTACTGAATGACAGAACTACTGCTTGCTGATGACCCCCTCCACAGCCCGAGCCTTACAGCACTGTATGCTTGCACAACACAGATGCAAGCAAACCTGCATATGGGTTTTACAAAACGGCTCCCAAAACAAGTAAGAAGAAGTTAAAAAAAAACACCATAATGCAAAGAGATCATGTTTCCGATTCCATATGGGAAAAAGCCAACACGTGCTGCTCTAGCAAGAAAAGGAGAAATAGCTTGCTGCCATAAAATATGATTAACTACTAGTTTATGACTGGGAATACGTGAACAACAGGTTCAAAGTGCTGAAGATCTACTTTATGAGAGGCAACATTGCCTCTTCAGGATTTTCTGGCAAAAAGCCATTCAGAGTTGCCAAGCTTCAAAAGTCCAGGAAGATTTGGAAAGTCTTCTTCATAATCGTATACGAACATCAGCCTTCTGTACATTTACAACTGCTGTATTTCACAGCACTTTGCACACCGTGTCCTCAGTTCAACTTCAGAGGGTTTTTTTTCCTGGCTTCTCTTACTAGGAGAACAATAAACAGGCATAAAGTTAATGCACAAAGAGGTTAGTACCTTAGACTTTTTGCTCCTCTTGTCATCCTCTTCATCTTCAGAGTGGTGGTGCTTTTTCTTCTTTTGTTTTTTAGCTGAGTGTGACCGACTTGGTTGAGACTCTACTATATCCTCATCCAGCAGAAGGTCATACTTGGCACTGATGGCGTTGGTTAAGGACAGATCTCTTGCTTAGTGTCAATAAACAGAACATGAAAGCTCACAAAGTAAACAAACCCCTGTTTACCAGACCAGGGTTTATCAAGGCTTACTATGTATTTCAGTCAAAACAGGACTGTCCCCATGGAAAAAGTCAGCTGGGCTAAAATGACTGAATTCTACTCCATCAAGGAGTACAGCCAGATCCCAATCCTCCTTTCTTTTCTACCTGTGGATATCTGAACAAGCTACGGTCTTCCTCTCATGCTCACCACAAGCAAAGTAGAAACAGTGCATGGCTTAGTTACTACTATGGTCTCATTCTGGATGCAGCAGGTCCCCTGTGAAACCACTTAAAACTCTGTTACATCACATGTCATTCCAGGGCTCTGGACCGGACAGATTATTTACCTGCACACAACACAGAAGTGAAACAGCACACTCTTCTGATGGCCTCAATGAATTTACTCAAATCAGGAAAACAAAAATGCTTAATTCCATGCCAAACACCATTTGGTTATACGAAGCAGTAGCAGAACACCCATTTGGCAAACTTTAAGAAGTCTTTTCCAGGCTATTTTCATAAACTGTACTTAGTGCAAAAAATAGGTTTATTCAGCAAAGGATACTCCTGCTTTGGTTTTACCTTCTCTTTCAGAGCAAATTTTGAAGGTTTGTCACGTTCCTTTTCATACTCTTTGAAATCATCCCTGGTATACCGCCCACCTGGCCACAGAAAAATATATTCAATTCATTCCAACTGAAAAACCAACCAAGATCCACATCTATCACTAAGATCTGCCTATGAATTTAAGGGCTCTTCATAACCGTGAAGAGATCCATAGCATGATGCAGTTCCAGAAGCAACACTGACACCTGCATAACAGAGTAGCAAGGAGCAGGACAATACATGACCTTTTTGTCCTTCTCTTGCATGCAGATCCCCTTAAACAGTACATGGCTTTCTCCTCACTCATGTCCGGTGGAGACAATGCATGAACAGGATCGCAAAGCAGGATTTAGCAACCACTCCCATTCTGACTGCAGGTCCTATGTCACACTACTTAAAACTTGGTTACCCTGAAAGCCTACAGACAGTTCCCATTATTAAAGGAGGCTGCACAAAGGGAAATCTCTGAGACGGCTACAGCTTAGGAATTCAAATGGAACTATAAAAAAAAAAAAAGTTATGCCTTGATTTAAAGAAGGGCACGGCAGATTTCATTTTCCATTCATTCACTTGAAAGTACCAGCTCACAAACTGTTCTACAGCAACGTGCTGCCATCTCACGCTCAGACTTACAACTGCAACGCTAACTGGCTAGGTCAGAAACAGCTGTTTCAGGTGGAAGGACGCTACTTCCCCTGGGTTATTTTTTGGGTACCATATAAGCACCAGATGACAACATAGCTTCCCAGCGTTTAGGACAACTGAGACCCAAGTTAGCCAGGTGAATTTTTCCATGTAGTCAGTACAGGATGCACTGAAGAGCACAGTATAGATCACAAAGTCATTCAGCTCTGTGCAAGACAAGTTCTAGTATCTCAGTGTCCATGACTAGTCCCCAACCTGGAGAAATTGTAGGCGAACCATGAGGGCTGACTGCATTTCTAGGTGAAGACGCGCAAGAACATCACCACTGCAATGCAGTCAGCTCTGCAAGTCCAGTGCTCTCCTCACTGGTCCCCAACAACCAAGTAACCACTGTATCCACCTCTCCCACCACCTTTTTCCTCCCAAAACATCCTCTAACATCTGAAACTGTGTTTTACAACATACAGCCTGCTATGCAATCTGTTTCACCTACAGAAGGTGAAGAGAGGAAATCCCTGGCCTGAATACTGACTGTTTCTTGTATACACCCAATTGTCATACAGCCAGTAAGGAAAAGAAACTAGAACGTAACAAGGTACTGCTGTATCATTTTGCCAATAAGTAGTATCAAAAAACCCATCACTTTTAGAGCTTGAGAGGAGCAAATGATTTACCAGCAAAAATAACAGCATCTGATAAAAAGGCAATCCATGGCAACGTAAGGTTAACATAACAGTAGTAAACTCCTCCACCCTTTCATATGGAACAAGTGATGAGAAGAGCTAGCAACTGTGTTGCTCTACTTACAGCAGCACCAGGAACATTTATATCCCTGAAGATGAGCTTATTTAAGCTCATAACAATTGCTTCTCTTTTATATAACAGAAGTTTAGAAGTCATGGGTTCTTAAGTTACAAGAATCGCAAGTGCACCTACCTTTCCCCTTCCACTTAATCTTTGCAACTGACTGGCTGAAATCCACATGTATCCGTCTGTCATCTATCAGCACATTGTCCATCTTGAAGTAGGCTTTCTCACAGTCTTCCTCCTGATATTAATGTTTTCCAAAAATTTTGAGTCATGATTATTTCACAGGAATATTTTGCTGAAGAGCTCAAACACAAATGCAACTGCTCAACGGTATACTTTTCTTTTTTTCCCCTAAAATCGCATAAAGCACGGCAGTTCTTGCATTGTGCCATTTCAAAATGGCTACACTTCCTCCAAACATAAACACTGTGAATTCCATTTCTTCCCTTCATTTCACTATTTTAAAAATTTGCCAATCCAGCTACGTTCGGCACACGAAACACATTCAAGAAAACAAGGGGAAAAAAGAACAACTAATCAAAGCTCCATTTGAAGTACGTAAGTAGGCTAAAAAACAAGTGAGAACACTTTTCCAGTGCTTTCCAGTTTTCCTCAGACCAGAGAGATCAGCGGACACAAAGAAGCAATTATGCTCCCTCAAGAGAACTTTTACTATCAGTTCACAGTAGGAGCAGCATGCTGATGAGGCTTCAAGCATAATTCACAGGTCCAACATAGGACACTACAGCACATGCTGATCTACTTTCTTTCATACACCCTCCTCTCTTTATGCAGCATGCCTCCTCTTCCCCCGAGTATTTCCTCCTTTAACTCCGAAAAACCCTAATGTCCTTGGTGGGGGGGAAAAAAAACTCCCACTGGTTTCAAGACAACGCAAGAACATCCTGTTTGTACTACCTGGTTGAATAAAGACTTAAATGTTTGCCTCATTTAGGACCTACAACTTCTGTAACTAAGGCAGTACGAGGAAAAATTAGCTACCCCACACATGAAGATTTCACTGGTTTTCCTTAACGGAAGTATGCCATAAATGAACTGTTACAAGCAGAATCTATGTACAGTATCCCTACGTAACGTACCTTTTCAAACTCAACAAAAGCGTAACACAGAGATTCACCAGTCTTCCAGTCTCGAATCACTTCACAGCTGAAAAGTTGACATGAAATTAAACTGTCAGTGCTGCTGGAGCAAGAAACATAGGACAGGGAAACACTGCTTAAGAGAGAGTAAGAGTTAAAGAAAAAAAAAAAAAAAACAAAAAAACCTTGAAGGTGTTATAACACTTGACCCATAGTGATGTGGGGGTGTCTGCACAAAAAAAAATTTATGTGGCATTACCTGAGTAATTATTACACTTAACTCACAAGTGCTTAACAGGAAGTGTAGAACTAGGGAGGAATTTCTGATTAATGAAACAAAATCTGTTTTCCAACACTACTGTTAATGATTCTTGCATTTCACTAATGCAAGTCAAATTTTGCATTCTGTTTTCTCAGTCATTTTAAGGGAAGTTTGAACCCACATCATGTGCCAAGCTCTCTCTTCTTAGCAAGCACCTCTCTAACAACCATATTCTTATCACAGTTCGCTGGGCAAAAATAAGAAGCCTTGAGTATGGAATCAGTAGACACAAAATAGGACAGTACAGTATTGAATCAGTATTACCAAACTCTTGTATATTACATGAGAATTATGAATACAGGATGTTAAAGGAGGTCAGACAGCCAATAAGGGCAGGAAATGTGGTATGAGGGAGAGATTTAATGAGGTGAGACCCCCCTGTGTGTACTGAAAAAGTGGCAAATCAGGATTAGGATACACAATCCAAAAGATGATCAAGGTGACAAGGAAAAAAAAAAAAAGGAAAAGAGAACAAAAAAGGAGACGACAAGGCTATTCTGACAAGCTATACGAATTCTTTGAAGAACTGAAAACAGGAGCCAAGTTCAAAACCGAAAAAGGCAGCAGGCATAAGAACACCTTAACAAGGAATATACCAGATGCCAGAAATACTTGTCACTTGATCTCAAAACCATAAATATTCCCACAGAAAAGAAAAACCCAGAGACTGTATCTGTATGCATATGTAGCCTCGGAGTTAAATCTGCTGAAAGGAGGGAGAGGACGGAGGGCTGGGGAAAGTACCATAGCTTTCCTTGCTCCTACACTTCTCTAGGCTTTCACTTAAAACCACTGCCAGGATGAGATACCCATCTAGCTAGATCTGACCTTGTATCACCACTTTTGTGGTCCCCATCCAAACACATGCAGGCACAAGATGAATCTCCAGAGACACCAGCCTACTACGGAACAGCCAAACCTAAAGAGGCTGGTGGGAATCAAGTTCAGTTTCAACAAAAGCGGGTTTCTTTGTTTTACAATAATTACCTTTTAATGGGACCAAATCGTGAAAATATTATCTCTAGGTCTTCATCTGTGGTCACTGGATTCAGTTTACAAACAAACAGCACATTTTCCGGTGGCTTGACCTCTGCATCTGGTAAGTCTCCCACCTGTAGCGTTCGGAAAAATATTTTCATCACTTCTGCCAAAAGCTCTCTGCATTTTATTGGCACAAGCACGCTGGCAGCACTTTTTTTGGATGGTCTCAGACACACTCCTACCACAAAAATCAGAAATTAAAAAAATATTTTTCCTTACTCAATGCAACCAAAAAAAAAGCCTTCTCCAGAGCACCTGAAAATGATTACCTATTTGCAATTCCACCGCTGGGACTTTCATGAAAGTCACAAATACTTTCTACCTTCCTTTCCCTGTTCATAACATAACAACTACACAGTTCTAAAGGGTGAAAGTGTACTTGTAGAGCCACTCTCCGTGTCCATAAAATGGACTGGATCCATTCCTCAGTCTCTGTCTGTACCCAAAAGAAACTCGCTGTTCCTTGAAATCTGGCAGCAGCTAGGATAAGCTTAAAGACAGCTTGACGAGGATGAGAAGTTACAATTACACAACTTTGTTCAGATAGACAGAAGGGAGAAAGCATTCGTGCTTACTGAGAAACAAGACTCGCTTAAAGCACGCACAAATTCAATGTTTGCAACCTTTTGATCAAAATTCCCATCCTCAAAGTAGCAAATTAAGCTACAGAGGAAAATGCAAATACACATACACACACCACCCCCTGTTAAACTGCAGCACTTTCTTAAAACCTGGAAAAAAAAAACCCAAAACCCAGTGAAACTAGCAGCACGCTTAGTTTTTCACCTCTTCAGCTTACATAATATAGCTCCCAGTTCCGTACTATCCAGCAGTACTCATGGGCAATTACTGCATCGGCTCATATACCCCACGCCTTTCTGAGCTAACTTTACCTGGAAAACAGGTCACTAGCCCACTGCTGCTGCAAAACAAGAGCCCACACCTGCAGATCTTCTGCAATACTGTGGTCACATCTAGACAGACCTTGGTACTAGTCTCTGCTGCAAACTGTTCACTGTAAATTTGAATGCGATCATTGTAAAGAAGAGAGGTGTGTTCATCCCTCTTTCATTGTGTGTTTTCCTTTTTCTTTAAAAAACAAACAAAAAAAACCCCAAACAAACAAACCTTCAAAGCCTTTTCACCATTTTTGTCACTATATGGAGTTTACAACTGCCAGCAGTTACCAAACATTGTATTTAATAAGGAACAATGTAAGGTTAACCAGTGTTCAGCTCAACTAACCCCACAGAAGGAAGACAACCACTGCACAGATGAATAAGCGATCTCCATGCACCAGGAAGGGATTATCCCAAATTAGCTCAGCTCTCTCCCACACATGCTAAACCTCTTCCAGGATTAAAGATATTCAACAGCATATTATGTATGTTACAGGCTTTACTGCGTGCATTTTTAGCAATTTTTTATAAAGCCTCCACTGGTCCACTTTTAATCACATCTTTGAAAATGAATTATCATTGATTTTATCAGAAAACCACCTCCAGTACTTGCGCTCAATCCTCTTCATTGTACCAGTGACATTTAGCAGCACAAATTGTGAGCCATGACATCATCACCTGATGAGCAATTCCAAGATGAATAGTTCTCATCCTCCTAGATTTAATAAAACATGCACACGCAGAGGAATAACATCTAAAAGGCAAATATAGAACGACATTCACCATTTCCAGAAGAATGGCACGAGTTTTTGCTTCTTTTTCTGCCTGAACTTCTTCTATTTCATCTGCAGACCGTCCTTTCAAGTCATCAATTTCTTCATCTGCTCCTATTCTACCACTCTGAAAAATGAAGGAAAAAGCTGTTTATTACCAAGTCATGGCCAAAAATTCTTTCTCACACTCCAAATATTACTTTGATGACCTCACCCCCAAGATATGAAAAAACGCTTAAGCACTGTATCTCAGCAGAACTGGGATTTCATTCTGTTCTTCCCACTTACCTTAAACACAGAGAGAGAGATGTTACCCTCATGTGTTTCAGGCACTATGAACTATGGATGAACTTTAGGCCCAATGTGAACCCCACTCAGTTAGATATTCTGAATTCTTTTATACTCCCATGTCACCAGAAACATCAACCCGTTTCTAATCTATATAGCTACCAGAAATGAAGATAAGGAACACCGCAAGTGTCTGTCCTGTCTGACTAAGACTCAAACATTATTATCACAACAAGAATTTTATTTTTACACATCTACATATCAGCAGGATTTGAGGTTTAATTTTTTTCTCCTCATTAGCATCTCTAGAATGCCACCCTTCTTACAGGCATTTCTACACCAAAAGGTGCATCTTCAGAGGGGCTGTGGGGGAAGAAAACTAAGTATAAGCTTTCAATTCTCTACGCAGTTGGCAGTGAGCTACTACACTCTTGATACCATGTAACATAGCTGAAGGAACATCAGAGATTAACCACAGTGCAGATGTACTATGAAAGCCTAATTCCAATCTTGTAACTACATCTGTTAAGCTTAAAAACAGTCAATCTCTCTAGTCAATTTTATTCACTGGTTGAAGCAACTGTTTCCATACAAGCAGATAATCTCACATAGCAACCTCCATAACTGCATCCTACGAGTAAGTTATGAATATTTACTATTATATTTTTAGCAAACTGCCTCTGTTTTAGCCAATACACTACAACAGTATGCACGCTTGCAGATACAGCTCAGAGAATGACCAAGATTACTTCCACTGAAACGCAGACTATTTCACATGTAAAAGGACAACAGCAGAAAGCGCTTTAATGTCAACTAACATTAGTTATATTTTTGTCTTCTCCTAGAGCGTGCAAAAGCCCAGTAATGCGAATATTCTGCTTAACTGCACTGTAACTAGAAATGTAAAATATGGCTTTCCAACCTAACTCCACCCTAGTCACAAGGGAGAGCACCCAGGTCACCCTATATCCTTTTCTGGAAAGATGAAGCAGTCGTACTTGATTGAACACCGCAATAGCCCCAAATAACAGACAAGCATTTGACATATCACAACTCCAGCTGGCAGAGTAGAAGAGAATCTCTTCTTCTCCTACACTAAAAATGTGATGTTCTTTTAGGATATAGATTTGATAGACAAAGTCTTAAACACAGAATTCTTATTTTTGACGAAGTCTGTGCTGGTCACTAACAGGGATAAGTTTATTTAATGACTTCTTCCAACTTTTCCCCAAGAAGCTATCATAAACACTCACATCTAGCTGTTCCTTGGTAGGTTCTGGTGAGCGATCAGGAACAGACAAGCCAGGTGGATCTTCAAATGGATCATCTAAAATTACTGTATGATTTATCCTTGCAGAAAACAAAATTAAGAACAGCGTCAGTCACATGCAGATAAAATTCTCTTTACCCAAGTAACACGAAACCAGCCTCAGTTATATTCCAAGCAGCCAAACATACCGTATGCTTATAAATACTAGTTCTGATGCTTCTGCCAAGGCAACACAGTTCCATGATTTCTTATATAGTTGTTTATTATAGTACCTGCTTATTTTACCAATAATACTGGAATAAAAGAGTATTTAGGATACCATCCTACAGGTCACCTGACATCACCTTATTAATCTAGTTTCCAAAAAAAATACATTAATTTGTTTAATTATTATGTGTTCCTCAAAAAGGGAAGTAAAAGCAGTCATACCTAATATCTTGATATGGGATAAAATCCTTATCTACAAAGGTTTCATTAATTGTCTTCAATACATCCATGCCTTCTGTTACTTCTCCAAATACTGTATGCACACCATCAAGGTAATCCAGGTTTTCCCCTGTAGTAATAAGAAACTAGAAAGAAGATACAAAACTAGTAACAGTAAATAGAAAAATTCAGGGCTTAAGTTTCACCTCAGGAGAGGCACAAGCCTCACTGAAATCAGTGAGGAGAAAAAAACCCCACCACTTCCTGACTTCTGCAGGAGAAGATTAGTCGTCTTCCATCAGCACTGAGAACACAAGGAGCCAACCTGCTGCTCAAAACCACTGCCCGAGGAAGACAGGCTCTCTCATACAAGCCTCCCCCTGCACAAGCTCACAGCTCTGGCTCATCGGACCCTTCAGTGACCAGGTATGACACAGTGACCTGGCAGAACACCAGATTGGGAGAGAAAGAGCAGACAGGTCTGCCAGGTAGGTTTGCTGAGCAAGATCAGCAAAGGACATGACAGCTGATGAAAGGGAGAAGACAGAAAGAGCAAGGCTAGCCCTCCAGGCAGGAGCGAGTTGGGCTCAAATCACCTGTTCAAACTGCATTCAGCAGGTGAATTTTCAGAGTTTTGGCAAAAGCTTCCATAGTTCTACCTTCACCTGCTTCCATCCACACTTTTTTCTTTCCTTCCCTTGTATCACAAAGCATTCTGTCCCAAAAAACAGGATGCAGTAGCATGCAGAGGAGAACTAGAACACAGTAGCACTGACTCAGAACGGCACTGAAACGCACCCTAACACACATCAGGTGTTTTGCTTTAGGGCCAAACTGAAGCTTTGCAAATTGATACCAATGGAACACTTGGTAACAAATTAAAGCTGGAGGATGCTTAGCAATGAATGAAGACAGGACCTGTAGATATGCACAAATAACAGAACACAACCCCTACATCCACGCTCTACAATTTGCCTGGGAACATCTTGCTCCTCCTTCTCTGCCATAGTTAAGACTGGTCAGTATTTGGTATAGGTTACACTAAGCTACATTATATTTGTAAGACAAATCCACGTTAATTCCTTACTGGATTTTTTCTTTCCCAAGGAAGAAGCTACAAGAATGTTCCCAGGAACCATATTCATTCTCATATGCCTGTGTACATGCTAGCAGGCTGCATTCTTATACATAAATATAAACGTCATCTCTTCTCCCTACACTCCCCACCAAAGCAATTTTATACACACAATGCAGGGAAGCAGCAAAATTAACTCCATATATTACAAGCTCTAGTTGGAATAAAACCATAGGGTTTTTTATTTGCTCTTCCATTATTAAAAAAGCCTCTTTTTAAAATTAAAACACATGAATATTACAAGTGAGGCACTGTAGTATATAAGTAACAATGCATCTAAAATAATAATTTAGAGATAGTATCATCCTATGAGATTAGAGCTTTCAATATACCTACAGCAAAAACTTTGTGCACATGAATAGGGAACAGAAAAAGAATTCAGATACTGTCGTTACCTTTGTTTTATAACAGCACTGGGATAAAACTGTAAACTTGCACTCTATCAACACGCTGTATCAACACTTTTGTGTGACCATACAGAGGAAGCTGTATGTATGTGTGTACAAGCTGTGTACACCGCTGCGGCATGATTTCGGTTCCCAAACTATCACGAAGTTATAGAATTTCTAAGCTGTATAAATTATAAAAAGTTTTAAGATTATTTTAAAACCCAATTTCCTTACTTTTCACTTCCATTTAGCTACAAGATTCTTTCCTGACCATCCTATAAATCAGCAAAATCACATCAAGGAATTAATAGAAATGAATAAACAAAGAAAAAAAAAAATCAGAGGAATGAATTCTAACAAATAAAACTTATTCAATTAATCTAGGACAGGATTTGAATCTGAGCATTTTAATCTTTCTTGTCTGTAATCAAATACCCATTGGCACCTGGGTTAATGAGTAAAATCCTTACCTATGGCCATTTTTTTACATGCCTTTTGACCGCATTGCAAGATGATGCTATTGAGATGACACAGTCATTGCTACGGCACTTCTGTAAATCCAAGGAATTTTCATTTTAGTTACTTAGACAACTACCAAGGCTTTCCAACACTGCATGCTGACCTGTGAGCCATGCTGATCGCTGCCATTGTTCACCATTGACACAGTTCCCTTCTTCTTGTGCTTAATTCTCGGCACTTTTTCTGCCTCAAAAAATCTAGCTTGATCACCGTACAGTTGACTGAAAATACATATAACAAATACGTTACAAGGCAAAGGAATTTTTAAAAGTGAGACAAACAAATGCTGCAAAACATTAAATAAAATACGTTAAAGATTTTTACAATGGCATTCAAATAAAAGCAAAATCTACCCTGCATCCGTGCACATTTTTACAGACAGGTACACTTAAATAATTCACTTTATATTACAGGAAAGAAAGATTTTTCTGAGGCATTTCACAGCAGGTTTGTTGTTTGGGTTGGGTATATTTATGTTTCTAAACACAGTATGTAACATTCTTCTAAGGCATGAAGCAAATACATATTTGGTAAGTAGGTTCCATAAAAATAAGTTAAGCTATGTTGTAAAAACGTAGTAGTTTATGTCACAACTTTCTCTTTCAAGATAAATGGAAAGCCACTAAATGTAGGTGTAAACTTACTTCATCCCACAGACAGGACTTCATACAGTAATTTAAGATACAAAGGATATGGGATATTTTTAAATTCTTTTTCATTTTCTAAGTCTAACCGTGATATCGCTCATTTTGTCTCACTCCATAACTGACAGAGGCATAGTCAATACACACATTTGCCCAAATTTAAGGACGGTATTCTGTTTTAACTTATTTTGCTAAGAAGGTGTAAGCCTCTAGGAAGAGGGATTCAAATTAAACTCTGCCTGCATTAGCTTCCTGAGTAGCAAGAACAGAAACTCCAATTATGTGGACTTCAGCAGTAACCAACAGGTAGAAAAGACAAACTACCATTCTCCATACTAACAGCAGAACAGAATCTGCCACTCTCATCACACTATACTTCCCCATCTGCCATACCAAGGAGCCTCAGAAGACCAATCCTTATACAAGAGCAGAATACCAAAATAAACTTCATCTACCTAGGCGCAGAGAGTGCTCAGGTCTGCCAAGTTTACCTATGGAGACTTGCATCTGCTTAGCACAATTATACTGCTTCCAGGATAACCATAGTGGTGATCCATGTACCCAGGCTTTCAAGGTTTACCATTTTAGAGGCTCTGATAGACCAGACTTACAAAAAATCCACACTGGTCTAGCAACACTGTCTCTGTTCAAACTGGGCTATTTAGCCCTGCATAACGTGTTCCCCAGCACTCCAGGTCTAGTTCTACTCTGCAATTTTAATTCTACTTTTGATAACAATTTCAAAGGGATCATATAGAACATAGGTGCCTTGCTAACTTCTGTCCTGGCTGTCTGAATGATTTCTTCAACTTTTATGTGCAAGACCACTGAAAACATCAGAAACAGGGAAGAGAAGCAATTTCCTTATAGACATTCGACATGACGACAATGTTACAGCAACAGGATTACTTTCTTATACACAGAGGAAATCACGTGTAGCCTCTATAGTCCCCTCCAGCTCAATTAAATCCATTTTGTTACAAAAAAAATGGTACTAACTAGCTGCTAACAATTTTGCCTTCTACAGAGCACTTAGTTATGTACCTCTTTTAGAAAACCAAACCTTAGTCATTTACTAACTTTTGAATAAACAGAAATTCATACAACTTTAACAACCTTACAACATGTTGGTTGTAACTTAGCATCTAAGGTCAGACATATAACAGTGCTCAGACAAAACAGAATCTGAATGCCCAAAGGCAGCACAGGAACTAAAACGGTATTTAGGTATGACAACCAAAGAAGCCTCAACATTTTATTTCCCATCGGTAATTCTGCCCAAGAGAGCTGAAGGCAATCTAACTGGAACCCCTATTCCCCTATACAATTTTACTCTGTCAATTAAGCAACAGAAAAGTTTTACTTACCAAAATATGGATTCCCCTCCACGGCCAGTTCCCATAGGGTCACCGGTTTGTATAATAAAATCCCTCTGTCACAAAGCAGAATACCAAAGATATTGCTTCCATGTTTGTGAATTTAAACCAACAACAACAAAGGAATTGCGAACACTCACCTGTACATTATGAACAAGACAATAGTTGTAGTACTTGACTTTGCAGAGCTTCAGAAAATTCAGACAAGCTGTAAGAAACGATACCAGCGTTTACTAAAGATGACCCCAGACATAACAGATACCCAGTTCAACGTGCAGGAAAGCGTTTTTGGAGCAGACTGCGTTAAGACTTATGGGCGTACAGCCTATGAACGCTGTGAGAAATGCTCTAAGAAGAGGTAACATCTCCCTTCCTAAAGCCCATCTCCAATGAGTCCGAGAACCCCAAATCCAGCTACTTATACAGAAACGCGCATTTCTTCTCCCCCGTTTCTTTCCAAACACCGAAGACAGACCATCACAGTTGTGTTTCGATCCAGAACATATTACGTTTCCTCAATTTTTTTAAAATAAATACGCACTGCGTGTATGATAAACGCGCAAAAAATTGAAAATCCCCACTCCCCGACTGCACTTGATGCTTTCCAGCACTTCAAGCCCACGCGGAGCGCTGACGGCCGAGGATATCCGGGCACCCATGTGGCTCTAATCCCAGGACTCAGGCCGGACGAGCCCCGGCTGGGGGAAGGTGAGCTGTGGACCCCTTTGCCGCCTGCTTCCGCAGGAGGCCGCGCCGGCAGCCCCCCCTCCAGCTGCC